CTTTTCATATACTTCAGTTTAGCCATATGCTCGACATCCTTCTCCAGTTCTTCCGCTTCTTGGGCTTCCAACTTAGCTACGTCTTGGGACGTGCCAAGCAGCCTGCGGGTATTCGTTAGTTGGTCGTAGTATCTCCAGAGGTCATCCTTGCAGTCGTCCACCTTGCATTTTAACGGAAGTCCCTGTAACAGGTTCCCGTAGAGGTCTTTAAGCATGGGGATTCTCCTCTGGCCATTGGGCTTGTCTCGTTCGGCCCTAATCTTCGCGTGGGTGTGTTTTGCCATGCGTCTTACTACGTTCTTGCACCGTGGACTCATTGGTTCCGTAGGTGCGAGTTCATCGAAGGTCTCCTGTTCCGAGACGGTGAACGATTCCGCCTCCGACCCTTCATCTGAGCTCTCGTCTTCTGGGGTGCTTTCGCCGTTTATTCCCCAGTCCTGTTTGCTCACAAACGTTGCGTTCAACTGTCCTGTCCAGGTGGCATTGAGTTGTTTGCCGACTTTGCGTCCGCCGTTCCCTTTCTTTGGCTGTCTGCAGTCTCGGGCCATGTGGCCTGGCTTGTCGCAGTTAAAACAGAGTCGTTCTTGAATTGTCTGTCTTTCTTAGGGTCACGGGGTCGTCCAGGTTTGAACGTGGCATCGAGTTCCATTGGGTCCGACCAACGGTTTGTCTCGCGGGTGTTGATCCCGTCGTCTGCCCTCGTTTCCCCGGTAGGGGTAACTTTCTTGGGCTTGTCATAGGTCCGACGTTCCTTCTGGAATTCGTATAGTCGATTGTCGATTCGGACCGTATGTTCGATTAGCGCTACCATGTCCGTTGGTTGTTGTTCCAAACGGGCAAGTTCCATACGTATATGGCTCTTCAGCCCACGTCGGTAGTGGCTGATGAGTGCGCTGGCGTCCCATCCTGTCTGATTGCCGTATCTCTGGAATTCTGTGGAGTATGTGAGGGCGCTGCCAGTCTGCTTAAGTGCAAACAGATGGTCTTCCGCGGTCTTAATCTCATCGATGTCTCCGAACATGCGTCGGATTTCCTTACAGAATCCATTCCAGCTGCCAAACATAGTCTGCGTAGTTGTCATGCTTCCATTGGTACTTTCATATTTGAAATAGTCCTTGAGGAATGGTTCGATCCATCGCAGGGCTTCCCCCCTAAGGTAGGATGCAGTCCACAGGGCATAGCTCTCCTGGGTGGGAAACTTCTCATCATTGAAGTGCTGGTACAGTTCGACCTGTAGCAAAAACACCTCAAGTTCCTTTCGGTTGCCGGAGTAAGTGTCGGGCAACTTGACGCGTAGAGTTTCCTTGAGTTCGTTGACGGTGGGTGCATCGGGCATCTCTTCATTCTCAGGCTTAGACCTCTGAGACGAAGTTGGCGTGGTGGGGGTTTTCCCCTTCGAACTGACGACAGACATGTTGCTTTGTGTGTAAGCCGGTACCTCGTAGAAGTGGTGCTCAAAGTGTAACGCTGACTTCTAAACGATAGAAGACACAGAGGTTCTCTTGCGTAAAGGTTTACTTATCAGAGGAGGCAGGGGATCAGACACAAAGGCTTCAAGTAACACGTTACTAGTATATAACAAATACTGTATTGAGTTGAGCACGAAGCTCCTATCTAAGGAAATACTATCTACTTATATAGTGGCGTCGTGCCTAGTGGACTCTTGGGAACTCACTCGAGTCCTCAGAGTCCTGGACTCTTAGGACTCTTCTCATCATCCTGCGAGTCCATCACGTGCCTAGTGGACTCCTGGGAACTCACTCGAGTCCTCGGAGTCCTGGACTCTTAGGACTCTTCTCATCCTCCTGCGAGTCCGTCACGTGATACTTTCGGAACTACTATTCCCCGCTGCCCCTCCAGGTACCAGGGCCGGTCTCATGCGACCTCCCTCCTTCCTGTCCTGTAGTTGGCCAGCCTTCTTGTTCCGTCGTAACATATGTCTGTAAGGACAGTTCGAACTGAGGCTGACCTTCAAGTCTGCAGAAGTATCCGAAGTATAATGTGAAGACTTCGATACTCGAAGCAGTAGGACAAGGTATAGTAGTTCAGGCTCCAAAGCATATACTTTATACCATAGAGGTCAAGTGGTGAGACTAACAGGTTGGCTAAGTGGTTCGACTCGAAGTAAGGGGATGCAAAGTAAGTCGAAGCAGGATGATTTGCAAGAAGGCCAAGTAGTATATAATTTGCTAACTAAAGATCAATAAGAGACATGAGCAATAAGTGCTTATATAACAGTAAAAATCCCTAGTGCCAAATAAGCGAAGGCACTAATTAACCGAACCCTAGCTAAGCGCGCCCTAGTGAAGCGAGCCAATATACAAGAGAGCCTAAGCCAGTAGTCAACATTTGGGCTGATCTAGGTCAGCAAGTGAAGCGAAGTGAGCGAAGTGAGTGAAGCAGGTGAAGTGAATGACATAGTGAAATAAGTACTAGAGACTAAAGTGAATCGAAGGGTCATGGCACAAATATTGAAGGAGTGTCATGACAATGTCCTAGGTTGGTTTTAATTCTTGTAGATATGGCAATTCCTTACATATTAAGTGATAGTCTTGTCCATCTGAGGCTAGTAGTACTGTCTCTTAATGATGCGAATCATCTTCCTAATTCTAGGGTGTCATTACTAGCTGGTCATGAACCTTATAGAGGAGTTTAACTTAGACGTCTTCTAGGATCCAAACTTGATTTTGGTAGAGTAGGAGTCCATCTTCATAATGTGCTAAGGCTATACTTAGACTATCTCACTTGTTGTTCTATAGTCTTTGGATCGTATCCTTGCATAGTTCATCTTGAAGCTACATAGCTCGGATCATGTCGTGGATGCTCTGATCTTGTAGTAGGATTAGTGCAAGTTGAGCATCTTGTGCCTACTCTCGACTTTTGAGTTCTAGCTGCTGTATAAGATCTAGGTGTAGTTTTTCCATTAGTAGCATCATTTAAAGCTGCTGCTTCTGTCGGTCATCCTCTTCATTTCCTTCTAGCCGATCCCCTAGCCTTTGGGTAAGAGCATCTGCTTTCCCATTCTGCTTGCTAACAATAGCAAGCATCATAGACTTCGTTGTATGGGTCACATCATCAATCTCATAGCTCAAGCCTTCCTTTTTAGTGATACTAAGCACAGCGTTTCACCTAATTCAACACCACTTGAACTAGCCAATTAGCGCACAAATGGGGCTCTTAGAAAGCTTCACAACATTGTTGTTTTTGTATAATGGTCGCTATAACGAATTGCTGAATTTAGGGAGTATAGCTAAGGCAAAAGGCTTAAACAGGACAATTCAACTTGTTAGAACTCATGGTCTTATATGATTGGCTGCACTCTATGGCCTGGTGTTTAGCCTGTATTTCAGATGTTTTGCTTAGAACACAAGGACGAGCTTTAGGATGATACTTTAACTACTAATGAGTGGTCTTGTCTTAAAGAAGTATTTAGGATTCTCAAGATCCTAGAACAAACTACACTTGATGTAGAAGGTCCGTTTGGCTCTCTTAGCAAGGTGGTTATAACCATGGATTTTTTGCTTAAGCTTTTCAAAGACATTACAGAGTCAAAAATGAAAATCAAATATTCAGATGTAATTAAATCTATGGCTAATAATGCATAGAATAAGCTCAACAAGTACTACAATATAACAGAGGCAAGTGAGGCTTATATTGCTTCAATTGTTCTTAATCCTTAGATCAAATGGGTGTACTTTACAAAGCAATGGCCTAATTGGGTTAATCAAGCTAAAAAGGACATGTTAGCCTTCTAGAAGACTTATTACAGTACTTCAAACATTTTTGAGGATCTTTTAGAGCCTCAAAGGGTCTATGAAGGTGGCTAGTCAGAGGTCTCAAAATTCCGGCAGCAGAACAACCCTTAGGATGAAGAATGTGAGGAGTATGAGATGTATTGCTTGACTCCTCGACTTAGCCAGAAGAGTAAACAGCGGCCAATTGATTGGTGGAAAGAGGCCTCACAACAAGAGGCATATCCCAATTTGTCTCGTTAGGCAATCGATGTTTTGACAATACTAGCAATGAGCGATGAGCCTAAGAGGCTGTTTTCAAGAGCCTCAAATACAATCAATGAGGACCGAGCGCAGCTATTTTCCAGACACAGTACAAGCGCTCGAGTGTATCAAGTCCTGGACGCTTTAGAAAATTGGATGTGACGATAGGATTTAATTGAAGGCTGTGTAAGCTGTTTGCGCTGAGTTTGACTCTCGAGCCTCTGTTCCCTAGCTAGAAGTTGGTTCTGCAACGACCTGTTGACCATGGAATCATCGAAGCCATGCTCTTGAGTGCTTTGCAACTGTCTCTGAAATGTAAACATGATGACTTGGGCTATTTTAGAATAAATGGAATAAATTAAATCTCAGAATAAAGGGGTGTTGGAGGTGAGTAGTCAATGAACCAAGGTCGGGAGGTTTTGGGCGAGTAGTCGATCAACCTATGGACAATCAACCTCTAGACACCCGATTTATCGTTTCCGGGATTTGGAAAGTCGACTTCCAACATTGGAAAACAGAGGACTTTATACGATAATTGTAATTTTTACTACAGTATTTGTCTGCCTTGAAAAGCGCTAGCTCGTACATCTTCCCGTTTTGCGATGGCCGTGTACGTTTGGCCGTTTCGTGTGGTGGTGGTGTCGGATAAAAGCAGCATTGGCCTCGGAACCGTTCACGCGATGCAGCAATTGGTTATCAAGTTCTCAAAGTAGTTGCATTCAGCGACCATCTCCGGCAGAGATGCCCAATTCTCTTGACTCTATGGTCGTATGTGGGAGTTATTTTGGGGGGGGGGGATTATATGGTGGTGTGCTTGACTGACGGGGGAGGGATTTGAGAGCCAATGCTTCTCCTTCTATAGTACTATAAACCTCCTTACAAACCAACCCCTCTGTTTACTTACAACCGTATAATGCCCTCGCGATCCCAGCCGCTTACCACCACATAAAGTCCCTCCTGCCCCCTGCCCCTTGCCACCCCCCAACCTTCTTCCCTCACCCACCCCTAAACACTCCCCCGCTTCGCAACAATCTGTCTCAACCTCGCCAGCCCAAACATCGAAGGGAAGATATAATCCTACTCATCATCAGCACATATCATCGGGAAAGTCGTCCTCATGCTACTCACCCAAACACTCCTCGGCGCGAATCGGTCCAAGAACCAGATTATCCACGAGCGATTGCCCTGCCATACCCAGTTCGGGGGGTTGGTCTTTAGGACCTCGTGAACGACGCTGGCGGAGTAGGCGGAGGTGGGCATTGCGCCCTCTGCTGGTTGTTAGCTTCCTATATCAACCCCCGTCTCCCACTCCCCCTACCCCCTTCCCCGGCAGCCCCAAGAATCCAGAAAAACAACCAAAAGGACAACAGAGAAACCTAACTCACCCTGCGAATGCTTAACCCTCCTCAAATACTCCGCATTAATAGGCAAATACAAACTATCCTCCCCCAACGTCCTATCCGTCCTCGCGATCCTACTCTGCACACCCCCCGTCACCACGAGGATCACCCTGACACCGAACGGGGCAAGTTCTAGACGAAGGGTGTTGGAGTAGGCTTGGAGCGCGCCTTTGGTGGCGTTGTAGACGGCGCCGAAGACGTAGGGGGTTACGGCGGTGATGGAGCCGATGTTGACGATTTTACCCTTTGCGAGGATGAGGAGGGGGGAGAGCTCGCGGATGATGGAGATTACGGAGAAGATGTTGGTTTCGAAGGTTGAGTGGATGTCTTCATCTGAGACTTCGATGGCGGGGACGGTGCAGTCTGGTAGAATGGTAAGTAAAGGGTCCCCCGTAAGGAAAGTCACCGAGATTTGGGAATCGTCATATATCCCCCCTAACCCCCCGGGCGCCCTCTGGCGTAGACGAATAAATGAAAATACAACTTACTCTTTCCCCTATATTCACAAATCATGAATTAGCCCCAGACCACGCACGTGAGGGGTATAGCGGGAGGGGGTAAACTCACGCATTATTAACCAGCACATCCAAGCTCCCCCCCGCAACCCTCTCCAGCTCCTCCCTAATCCTCACCCGATCCGCCTGGGACGTGACATCAAAAGAGAACGTCTCAATCCCCAGATCCTCCAAATCCATTAACGCAACTTTATCCCGCGCTGTGGCGAAGACGCGGAGGCCTGGGTGTGTATACACATATTAGCAGCTGGCGGTGACAGTGACGTGACGCCAAATGTTGTACCCAGGGTCGCATACCAGCATTATGAAAGTCCATAGCAAGAGCATGTCCAATCCCCCCCGGGGCACATCCCGTAATCAACACTGTTTTGCGAGCATCCGCCATTTTCTTTTCCGTTTCAACAATTATAGTAGAGTTAAGGTAAAAAGAAAGATAGTCTGGTTTTGATACGCGCCATGGGCTGGAATTAAATGGCCTCAAAAGTTGCCGAGGCGGCGGTCGGCGTTGTCACGAGGGGAGGACGCTAGTTAGCGCCGATTCTAATACGATTTCGAATTTACGGCGCGGTACGAGATGATAAACAGTGTCTTACTCAGCACACTTCCAACGCGAAAAAATAAAAAATAAAAAATACGAACACAGCACAGTAAAAGCATCTCCTCTCTATGTAAATCTAACAATACACTTCCCCACCCCCACCAAAAAGCCAGCTAGCCAAGCCAGTAAGCCGCATAGCATAGCGTAGCAATTAACTCTAATCACACCCCAGCTCCCATCCTCAACCATAGCCATGCCACAAAACAGCTTCAGCGACCAAGAACAAATACAACCCCTTTTTCCACCCACCATCCCGTCCTATTATGCCACCCGCCCCCTTACTGGGCCAAAAAACTCCAAAAAAGTCAACTCCCCCCATCCCCAAATTTAAACTCAAAAACAAGCCAACCCAGCCAGTCCAGCCCAGCCCAGCGACGACAAAGGAAACCAGGGCTGGGAAAGCAGATGTGTCCCCTGGCCCATAATTACACGTCCTCAGCATACACACCGCACCCCGCACCCATCAAGCCATCTAGACACTGTCGAGAGAGAGTCGGCGATGCAGAGAGAGGGACGGACCCCAAAAAGAGAGCCTCACTCACTCATCCCCCCCCACTCCTCCCCAAACATCGTCATATCCCTCAACAACTCCCCCGCCTCCCCCCCACCCGCCTCCTCCTTCGCTCTCTTCTCCCCCCCAGGGTCCTCATCCGCATTCGTCAAATCCTTAAACAACCTCTCCATCCCCCCCTGTCCTCCTCCTCCCCCCCCTCCACCACTTCCTCCCCCAGAACCGCCTGGAAGTCCCCCAGTGATGCTAGAACTATCAAACCCCCTCCCAAGCGGGCTTCCCATCCCGCGCCCATCAAGCGTCATCTCCCCACCCCTCCCCATCGCCGCGCCCGTGAACGGTCCTGCGCCTTGCCCAGAGCCATAGGGTGGCGCGTGTACGAAGCCCATTGGTGCGAACCCCTGACGTTCCCTCGGGGGGTATGGGAGTTCATCATACGCAAACCGTGGCTGCTGCTGCTGCTGATGGTGTGGTGAATCCGTCAACATCCCCCCTCTCGGTCCTCTCCCAGGTCCAGAGCCAGGATACACGCCATTCTGCCCCTGCTGCTGCGTCGAGAACTGCTGCATCGCATAGTGCCCCCCCCCCGGCGCAGGCTGCAGCGCCGGTCTCGGGGGCGCAGACTGCGGCTCGCTGCTCTTCCGTTTAAACCCATGCTGCCTAGTCCTCAGACTCTGCGGCAGGTTCTCCGGATCATCAACCCCATGCTGCGCCATCAGCTTCTGCAACTTCGTCGGTCTCGGTTTGCGCGTCGATTTCGACGTCTCCAGCACCGGCGGCGGGTCGGGGGCCACAGGGGACCAAGTATGTAACTGCGCGCGAAAGTAATTTGTCTCTCTCACCAACAATATCTCCGCCCCCTCAATCTTACGTAAATAAAACCTTAGGATCGACGACTCCTCAGACGTCGCCATGATGGGATTGCAGAAGGGCGCGACGTGGTTGCGGAAGTCCTGCGCGTTGTCGATGATGCGCGCGAGGAGGTCTTCCTCGTCGGGCTGGAAGGGGAGGGATTTGATCTCGTTCTGCCACTCGATTAGGTCTTCGAGCTTGGGGCGCGCGGCGTCGCGGGGGATCTTGACGCGCCAGTCGCAGATGGGGCAGGTGTATTTTTCGTCTTCCTTGACTTTGCCGCGGGCGATCTTGAGGCATTTGCCGTGGTACCTGGGAGAGTTAGTTAGTAACAACAATCTATCATAGGGGGGGGGATCTCTTACCACTCATGGCACAACTCGCACTCAATCATCATCCCCGCCTCCACCTTGCGGCAAATACAAAACACCTCCCTGAACCTCGGATCCTCCCACGTATGCATCTTCCCATCCACCGGACTCGGCTCCCTCGATGCCGGCTCGGCCGGCATCCGCGGTTTATCATACATGATATCGAAGCAGTCCAGGTTGCGCTCAAGCACATACTCCATATGCGTCTTGAGGATATGCAGCGGGGCGTTCGCTTTCCCAAACAGCTTCTTGCCCTTGCGCATCCAGTCCTCGTGGCGCTTCTGCTCTTTCTCGAGGTCAAGGGTGCCGCTCGGCTTGCTATTCAGGTCTAGCAGACTGTCTACCGTGAAGACGACTTCGGAATACGTAGGCCGCTTCGAGATATCCGCTTCCTTGCTGCGGTCGTAGAGAGACACGATCTGGCGATGGGCTTCGCGCTGCTTGTTAAGGATCTGATCAACCTGCGACAGCGTCTCGGCCGAAACCGGTATAGCAGCAGCCTGCGCCTGATTTGACAGCGCCTCCAGCTGAGGGTAGTGAATAGACTCCGCAGACATAAGCTCCTTCGCCTTCATCTCCCACCCCTCCCCCGCCTCCTTCTGCTCCTTAAAGTGCCGCAGATAGCTATTACTCGCCGGCAGAATCTCCAGCTTCTCCGCCGCCGCAATCAGCTCCTTAATATCCGTCAACGACAAAAACTGCCCCCTCGCCTCCTTCGCCCTGTCATCCCACTTATTCTTCGCCACCACCCCCTCCAGCCGCTCCGTCTCGGGCATATCGACATTGAGCCCGCGCCCGCGCTCGAGCAGCTCCTCAAACACCTGCGTATCGCTCACGTTCTGGTTGTCGAGCGCCATCTTGGCGTCGCGCTGGAAACTGGTGATGGCCTCGGCGCGCTCGCGCAGCTGGGTGATCTCGGGACAGTCGAATCCTAGGGCGTCGGCGTCCTTGAGGAGCTTGACGACGTTTTCGACTTTGCGGAGCTCGCGCTCGCGCTCCTCGGCCTCGGCGGCTTTGCTGCCTTTGCGCCAGCTCTTCTCGCTCTTGCGGCGGTTCTGCTGTTTGCGAACGATGTAGTTGGTGGCTTCGTCTACCCACTCGTTGCAGCGGTCCACGAAGGTCTTTAGGGTTGGGAGGGAGGGGAGGTCGTAGGGGATGCGCTCCCCCTCATTGAGGAGAGCGCGGAGCACTTTTAAAGACGGTGTTGCGTCCTCTTCTAGTGTCTTGGTGACCTTGTCTTCCCATACCTCTGGTAGATGCGCCTTGTCGCAAACCTTCTGATAGATGCTACTAATAGCCTGTTCGGTACGTCGATAATGTAGCGTATGATTCTTGCCCCTATACCGCTCCTCCTCAGACATCTCGCAGCATTCGTAATTGCCTGCATGCAAAAGACACAGAACCTTGCCCGACTTATCACACTTATACCTCGACAAATATGCATAAGCTTTGCAGTAAGAGCACTGATACTCCTCCTCCAGAACATCCCGATCATCCACCTCGAACTTGACATGGCACCGCGGTCCCGCGCCTTCAACCTCATCCGTGATAACGCAGGGGTGATTATTGTCGTTATGCTTAGCCAGGAAGTTCTTACGGAGCCCAATCTCCTTATCTCGCATGCGCTCCAGCGCCGGTGCAAGCCACTCCGCCGTCTCGATCGTGACGCCGCCAGTCGCGTGACCCTCAGCAGCAGTCCAGAGAAGCTCATCATGGGAAAAGCACGGCTGGCGCCTAAACTGCTGAAGTCTCTCAACGCCGACGTCCCCAAACGGCTCCCAATCCTTGGGTGCGAAGTTGACAGCCTCGTTGAAGTTGAAGCCGTGGTTAAACCCAGCATGGTATGCTTGGGGGAACGTAATCACAAACTGCCCGGCGCGTTGGTCGAGCGCGTAGCATCGAACACCGGCCTTCTTCAGTTGCTCGGGGGTAAGTAACGTAACAAGCTGGAACAAAAGATCCGGCTGCGTCTCGAACAGCTCCGGGACGGCTTCCCGCATCGCGTTCTCGAACTTCTCTGCATCCTCGCCCGGGATGCCGTACCATGTCTTCGTCGAGCCAAAGTGCTGGTAGTTGGCAGAATAAGCATAATGATCCTCGTTGTGCCAGCAGAATGTCGAAAAGATCATGCCGACATAGAGCCACGGCACCGTCATCCCGGAGATGTCGGATTTGATGTGCCTGAACAAGGAGTCCGGGTGCAGAGGCGTGATATTAAGATTCCAAGGATCAGTCGAATACGGATCCCGCGGATTCCTCTCAATCGTTGGGAACCCACTGCCGTGAGTCGTGGAATGGATATCGGCCCCGTACTCGACTTCAACAGTCTCCTCAAGGCTAGCAACCAACCTCCAAAACTCCCTCTCAATATCATCCTCAGTGACCGGTCGCGGACAGTTGAGAACCGGGTCAAACGGCAACCGATTCTGGAAGTACCCCTCCTTGAAATCCGCCGCCTTGTCATGGAACTGCTTAAGGGAGTAGATGCTTCCCTCCTCGAACCCGAACTGGCCATCACCCACAAGACACCTCGGGCAATTCCAGTCATAATCCGGTTTCTGCGTGAGCGGGGGGTCCAGACACTGCATATGGTATCCGTGATCACACGACTCGCAGACCAAGAGCCTACCCGCATCCTCCCCCTTGGCGCAATGTTCGCACTTCTCACCAGGCGCAAACGACCCCGGCTCGCCTGGTATCCTCGGCGTCAAGGGTCGTAGGAAGCTCATATGCGACCCTGCCACAGTCGGCACTGCTCCCTTCTTTAATCTCTTGCTTCGTCGCCCGTTTGCGCCGCCGTCGCTGTCGTCACGTGGAGTTGTATTCTCCTTTCGCGAATCTATGCTGTCGTGGCTCATTTGGCGCTTGAGCGGGTTGGATGTGAACCCATTCGTCAATGATGTCGATTTGAGGTTCGAGGGACGGTATTCGGGTGTGTTCTTGGCCGAAGACATCGGGTTGTCCACAACTCTCCTTGGAGGCGTAAAACTCCTCTCTGGTTCCCTCTCACGCCGCGCGTGATTGACAGGTGTAAACCCCCCCTGTCCTGCATTCACGGCTGTAAATCCGCCCGCATTAACCGGAGTGAAGCCAGACGTCGGAGGGGCAGGAGCGGGAGTCGATTGGCTCGATCGATCGACCATTGGTATATCTTTCGTCTCCGTGCCGTTCCCATAGACATTCCGTAATGACGAATTGAGCGCCTCGGAAGCGGAAACCGCCGGCGAGTCGTCTCGGAGGCTAGATGGTGTGTGTTGGTGTGATTTCTTCATCGGCGAAGTAGCTGGAGACGGCGTTATGGGTCCTCCATATTCGTATTCTAGCTGTGCCTGGACGCCCGGCTTCGCATGTCGAAGGTATTCCTCGTAAGGGAACAGCCACCGCTGGTATGAGTTCTTCAGAGAGGTCGAAAGCGATGACATGATCTTGCCGCTGTATCCCAGGTCACGGCCAATCTCGGCCCATTTCTTCAGTTTGCAGACCTTTTCAAACCCGCCTCTTGACTCCACAGCCTTCTTCAGTTTATATAGGTCGAGCGGGCGCTTGTCGACGCTGGGGAACCGAGTGAGACTCGTGCCGTGCTGCTTATGGAACCTCGCCAGCTGGTCTAGGTATGTCAAGTTCGCTCTGGTGCCTGTCGTGTGTTAGAGCGCTGAGAGTCACCATGCACGTGCCACTAGGATTTGTTATACGTACTGCCTTCAATAGAGTTGAGTTCTTGCTTTCGTGTCTTGAAGTGGAATTTCTAGGTTAGACGTCAGTATAAACAAGCGCACAAGATGCGACATGCAGGCCGAGGGGTGTATAGAATCCGCAGCCTGAATCGTTCGTACCTCCGTATCAATCGCGAACCCCGGATTCCAATCCACCGGCGGTATAATCTTGCAAATCCCAAACTGCGACGCCTCCGGCGCAATCTTCTTCATATACTGAAACGGGTCCTTGAACTCCTCCATCGTCGGCCGGTACGTGGGCGCCTCCTGCAGGCCATGCGGCCGCATCTTCTTGGTGGTCTCGCGGCTCGCCGTCGGCTGGCCTCGCCTCTCCACACTCGACAAGTCGAGCGGCGCAGACTTCATGGCGCTCAGGTGCACCGGTGCCGGGGCGGCATTGCCGTTCGCGGCGCCCTTCGCTCGGGTCGAGGGGGCGTTGCTGGCCGTCGCGCTGGCTGGGGAGGCGCGCGCGGCGGCCGACGAGCCGCCGCTCGTCGTGGGAACCTGCACCATTATGCACACGCCGGGTCGGGGGCGTGATCGGCTCGAGGGCAGGGAAGTGAGAGTCTTTGGGGTTTCGCTAGTCTCCGCAGTCTATATCGACGGCATTGGAGCGTTCGCATTCGAGGATGAGGGTTGTTGGTGGGTGTGGGCGAGCTGGTCTGGCTCAGGGCCTTGGGGCGAGTGTTGTCAGCGGTGCGTGCCAACACGATGGGAAACGGATTTCGAGTATAAGGCGGGATGATGGTACCGTAGACGAATACTAGTACATAAATTATACAGGTGGAGTAAGAAATAGAGATGATGCCATAAGAATTAAGCAGTCGAGCAGAAAGAGAGTGGGGGTTATGGTCGACAGTGGTGGAATGGCAGTTGGAGTTGTAAGTGGCATGGGAATAAGTATGGGAAGATCGAAGGTGGGATTGGAGAAAGTGAGGAAGTTGGGTGGTTGTCTTGAGAGGATGGATGTAGTGGTACATGGGGTAGTGTGGGGATATTGGGCGATTTTGGTGGGGAGCAGTTGTACCGGTAAGTATATATGGGGTGGTATATGTGGTATGTGGGTATATGTGGTGGGTTAGGCAAGGTTAGAGGTTAGAGGTTAGAGGTTAGAGGAGAGTACTCTATTACAGAATACTGTATTAGGAGAGAGTAGGGTATTAGAGGAGAGTATTGTTTAGGAGAGAGTAGGGTATTAGAGAGTAGGGTATTAGAGAGTAGGGTATTAGAGAGTAGGGTATTAGAGGAGAGTATTGTTTAGGAGAGAGTAGGGTATTAGAGAGTAGGGTATTAGAGAGTAGGGTATTAGAGAGTAGGGTATTAGGAGAGAGTAGGGTATTAGGAGAGAGTAGGGGTAGGGTATTAGGAGAGAGTAGGTATTAGAGGAGAGTACTGTATAGGGTATTAGAGGAGAGTATTGTTTAGGAGAGAGTACTGTATTAGGAGAGAGTAGGTATTAGAGGAGAGACTGTATAGGGTATTAGAGGAGAGTACTGTATTAGGAGAGAGTAGGGTATTATATACTTTGTTCTACTCTAACCTCTAACCCTCCATAGAGAAAGAAATAACCTGGGATACTGATTGACTAGGTAGGATAATAAGAGGTGTGAGGAAGATAGAGTATGGTATTATGTAGATATTATGTATGATATTATGGATGAGGATGAGGATGAGGATGATATAGTCTGTGGGTGGCATATGCATGGTGTTTGAGTATGAAGTACATGTGCAAAAGTAGAGAATATACAGCAATCCCCATCACTAGACTACTCTATCAAGAGTATGGTACTTGTATGATATGTACCTTGGCTAACTTTTGATAGTCCAGTGATATGGATTGCTGTATATTCTCTACTTCTGCACATGTACTTCACTCCGTATGAAGAAGAAAAGAGACGTGGGGGAAAGAAAAAGTGTCGATACTCCAGTACTGTAACTTAGGACTTGGTTTCGGCGCTAGGGGAGTAAAAAATGGAATATGGATGGGCCGCTTGTGGGTTAGCGCGGGTAGGTGGTAAGAGGTTAGAGGAGCAGGTGATGGGTGGGAATTTATACTGCAGTACTCCGTAAGTTATGCTCATCCTCCCCCAAAAATGCCACCCCCCCCAATCCCCCCCCTCTACACAGTCTACCTCCTCCGCTCCCTCCCCCTCCCCTCCTCCCTCTACATCGGATCGACCCCCCTTCCCTCGCGGCGCCTACGACAACACAATGGCGTCGTGGTAGGTGGTGCGAGTAGGACGGCCAGAGCGAGCCATAGGCCGTGGGAGATGCCGGTGTTGGTTGTTGGGTTCCCGAGTCACGTTGGGGCGTTGCAGTTTGAGTGAGTGAAGGTCTCTTTCTTTGTTTGTTTTGTTTGGGGGTTGGTGGGATGGGTTGAGATGAGGGGGGAGGTGAGGGGTGTCACGTGCCACTCTATGTGGAAAGGGGGATGGGAGATGGATGGGAGATAGATGGGCGAATTCATGGGAAAGAGAAGCTAATGACAATAGATGGGCATGGCAACACCCAACACTCTCCACACGCCTCCCTCCCCCCTCCACCACCACCACCACCACCACTACCTCCACCCAGCCAACCCCCCGCCCACGCGCCCGAAGACCCCGCCTCACCCTCCCCTCCTCCCTCAAATCCCTCCACCACCTCCTCGCATCCCCCTCTTTCTGTCGCTGGCCACTGCGGTTACACTTCCAGAGCGAGGAGGTGTATGGGGCCTGGGTGAAGGCGTGTAGTTCCACGGCTGGGGGGAAGGAGGGGAGGGAGGGAAGGAGGGAGGTGGAGGTTGTGAAGGATTATGATAGTGAGATTTTCGCGGCGTTGGGGAAGGTCGAAAAAGGTGCAAAGGGGAAGGGTAGAGGAAAGTCCAAGGCACCGCTGGAGGAGGAGAGGCGGGTTGGTAACTGCGCGGCTTGCGGACAGGGGAGTGGTATAATGCCCATCTGCGCATCCGACGAATGCGGGGTAGCCACGCACATCACATGCCTCGCAAAACACGGGCTACGGGATGAGAAAGAGGGCGGAAAGGGACAGATTCTACCACTCTCGGCCAAATGTCCGCGGTGTAAAGGGGAGATGAGGTGGAGTGATATAGCTGGCCAGGTTACTGGACGGATTCGTGGGAAGGGGACGAAAGGGGGTATAGGTGCAGTGGCAAGTGCGAGTGCTGCGGGGAATGGAAGTGCGAGTGGGAGCGGGGTAGAGAGCGGGAGTGAGAGTGAAGCGGATTCTTGGGCTGGGGTTGTGGAGTTGTGAGGGGAGTTTGGGAAGGGGGTTTGGTCATGGAGCTTGGTGGATGGATGGTGCATTATGATACCCTGGGCTAATTTAATCGAGTTTCCTCTCTTGATTTGCATTGCATTCACTACCGACTGCATAATCGCATCTGCTATCTGAAAAGTGGCTGGTATACACTCCCGCGCCCGCCCGTGCGCCTCACGTAGATATCGAAACAAAGACCCTCCCAGTCGACCTTCCCCGTGCTGGCCTGGCTTAAACTCCTTTTGATGGCAATTTGCAATTCTATGCGAGTATTAGTAATCGTCCACCAAAAAATATAAAGGGGCCGGGGAAAAAGGCAGTGTTAGGCTCACTTTTTGGAAATTATTCCCCTTCCTCCGCGCCCATTGTGCCCTGATGGCTTTCCTCGTCTCTGCCCTTTTTTTCAGATACGACGCGTGTACATGCTCCCCATCTCAACTCGTGGTATTATGACGTTATTGCGTCAATTAGGAGAGGAGATCTGCGACGTTCATTGGCATCTCGTCGATCTGGGTAGAGTAGTACACTGATAGATGTTAGAACCGGATCCCAATATAGCAACACAGGCGCGACAAGACTTACACTCAATATCCCTCAAAATCCTCACATCCTCGCTCGTAACAAAGTTAATCGCCACACCCTTGCGTCCAAACCTTCCACTCCTACCAATCCTATGGATGTAGTTCTCACGGTTACTCGGCAGATCATAATTAATCACCAAGCTAACCTGCTGGACATCAATCCCCCTGGCCCACACATCCGTCGAGATAAGCACACGACTATTCCCCTGTCTGAAATCCTGCATGATGCTATCCCTCTCCTTCTGCGGCATCTCCCCATGCATACTCGACACCGTGAAATTCGCCTCACGCATCTTATCAGTCAGCCAGTCCACCTTGCGACGGGTGTTGCAGAAGATGACCGCCTGCGTGATCGTCAGCGTGTCGTAGAGGTCGCAGAGGGTGTCGAATTTCCACTCCTCCTTCTCGACAGCGATGAAGTACTGCTTGAGCCCCTCCAGCGTCAGCTCGTCGCGCTTGACGAGGATGCGCACGGGGTCGGTCATGAATTTCGTCGTCATGTCGAGGACGTCGTAGGGGAGGGTGGCGGAGACGACGACGACTTGCGTTGCGGGGGGCAGGTAGCGGTAGACGTCGTAGATCTGCTCGCGGAATCCGCGGTTGAGGAGCTCGTCCGCTTCATCGAGGACGAGCATCTTGATGTGGCGCGTGCGCAGGTTGCGGCGACGGATCATATCAGCCACACGCCCCGGAGTCCCACTGACAATATGCTGTCCGTAATCCAACTTCCTGATATCCTCCCCGACATTCGTACCGCCGATACAAGCATGGCACTGCACGTTCATGTAATCCCCCAAGGCCATAACGACAGACTGGATCTGCGTCGCCAGTTCGCGGGTCGGCGAGAGCACGAGGGCCTGCGACTCGCGCACCGCGGTGTCGATGACCTGCAGCATGCTGATGGAGAAGGTGGCCGTCTTACCGGTTCCGGATTGCGCTTGCGCGATGGTGTCGCGGCCTTTGCAGATTTGCACGATGGCGCGCGATTGCACGGCGGAGGGAGATTCGTAGCCGTACGCGTAGATGCCGCGGAGGAGGTTCTCCTTGAGGGACATGGACTCGAAAGTTGGAGCTGGGGGGCTGTTAGCATGGGCTTTTATTAAGCTTTGTCCCATCGATCCAAGGGGCTTTCTCGAGACCTGGCGCGATGGATGGAGGCTCAGCCTTACCAATTTCCACCTCCTTCGAGGTCGTAAACTCCATTCTCTCCTCCATCTTGCGGTCGATACCTCCGTCTGCCATGATGAGCGATTTCCGACCTTGAAACTGTAGTGGATGAGGTGTTTGTGAGGTCCGGAGGGCGGATTGTTGTGTGTGGCCAAAAAGTGTTGTCGTCAAAATTCGAGCCGGGGTGCGTCGTCGCGCAAGGCGGAGAAATAGTTAGCGCAGGCTGAGGAAATCTCCCATGTCACGGTCACACGTCTGCCAAATTTGGCCACTATCAACACCTTCAACCTTGCAGTACTGTTTTCGCCACGCCGGACGGGATTTATTGGTCTATAATTGAGGCGCGTTATTGCCAATTATACATTTGAATTAGAGGACGGTCTTGCGCTGCCACTATGATATTAGAGGAGCAGAGGTTCCTCCATGAGGACCTCGAGAGGCTGGAGCAGGGCATCGCAGATAGAGTGGCAGATGAACCACGACATGTTGGTTCCCAGCCAAGACCATATCGTGAGCCATGCTAATAAAACATCGCAGGTCCGTGAGCGTTTAAACCGAGACCACCAAGTAGCAGGCTTCCTAGACCGCATACAAGACCAGTCGAAACGGTTAATAGACATCTATAAAGATGCCGACGGCGCAAGGAGTAAAGAGATCCAGAACATCTCTACCGGCGACCCACTGGCCGAATTCTACAAGCAAATCTCAGAAATCAAAACCTTCCACCAGCGCTACCCCAATGAGCCCGTGGAGAACCTAGAGCGCGCATACAAGAAGAAGACGCCGCAAGAAGGCGAGCAGGTCGTCTCGGAGATCGACAACATGTTCACCGGCGAAGAAGCCTACGGCCGCTTCCTCGATCTCACCGCCCTCCACGAGCTCTACGTCAACCTCCCCGGCATCAAGCGCCCCTCCTACCTCCAATACCTCGACATCTTTGACATCTTCGCCCCGCCCGTCTGTGCTATCAAGCGCCCCGACAAAATGACAGACCAGTACTTCACCTACGTCGGCCAGCTCGCCACCTACCTCGAATCCTTCATGCGCCGCACTCGCCCTCTCGAAAACATCGACGCCCTCTTTGCAACCTGGGACGCAGACTTCGACAAGTCCTGGTCTGAAAACACAATCCCGGGCTGGACACTCGACACCGCACCCTCAGACCCCACATCCACAACCGGCGTCTTCTGCCAGGACTGCGAGAAGGAATTCTCGAATCCAAATGTCTATAAGGCGCATCTAACAGGGAAGAAGCATCTCCGCGCCGCCGACCAACGCGCCGCCCGCCTCGCAGACTCCTCCGCGCCAGCTGAAAGCACCAACGGCGGCGCACGCCCCGCATCCACCCTCCGCCTAAAGGAACGCGCCATCGCCGAGCGCGAGAACCGCGTACGCCGCCTCGCCGGCGCCATGACGCAAGAGCGCGGCGACACCCGCGTCAACGTCGAGCGCAGACAGGGCATGACCGAGCGTGAACGCCAACTCGAGCTCGAGGCTCTCTTCGCCGACACGGAAGTCGGCCCCACTATAGACGATGCATCGGACTCGGACTCGGACGGCGAGGAGAAGGTGTATAACCCCCTCAAGCTGCCGCTGGCCTGGGATGGCAAGCCGATTCCCTTCTGGCTGTACAAGCTGCACGGTCTGGGTGTGGAGTTCCCGTGCGAGATCTGTGGGAACTTTGTGTATATGGGACGCAGGGCGTTTGATAAGCACTTTAACGAGGCGCGTCATATTCATGGTCTGAAGTGTTTGGGGATCTCGAATACGAGTTTGTTTCGCGAGATTACGGGGATTGAGGATGCCTTGAAGTTGTGGGATAAGATTCAGAGGGAGAAGAAGAAGGAGGAGAGTGGGAGGGATGTGGTGCAGATGGAGGATGCGGAGGGGAATGTTATGCCGGAGAAGGTGTATTATGATTTGCAGAAGCAGGGGCTGTTGTAGAGGGGGGAGTGGTGGAGGGGGTGGTTGTTCTGCATGATATGGGCGTTTGGGGGTGAGGGACCGGCTTTGGAAGCTGCGTTGTGTTACGTATTAGGGGGACTATGTATCCAATATCGCAGATTTATTCTACGAGAAATCAAAGAATTACTCAAGGATACTGTCAAATATTCTGTGATTGAACAACGTGTTCTTTGGCGAAGATTTATCTGGGCCCCAAGACATAACAGTACACGCCAAAGCGAACAGAGTACGTAGCCATAGTTATAAAAGCAGTACTGAGCAACAAACAGTAAGCAAGACGGGAATCAACCAAAGGCCTTCAAGCAAACCGTAACCATAACCCTACTCAAAGCGTGAGATAATCCGTTCAAGAGATGCTCGAAGGGAAGAAGGTTCCCTGCAGAGTGTCCAACTCGTATGGTAAGAGGTATAATCGGTGACAAGAATGGTAGTCGACAGCAAGAGAAGCAGTGGACAGCAAGAAAAGGAATCGACTTCAAGAATACTATTGGCGAAGATCTGGGGGAAACATTGCGGCGTTCCTAACAGTCGACTCCATTGCGGCGGTGAGCTTCGTTGTTACTTCTCTCGCGGCTGCAGCGGCGTCTGAGATGGCGCTGTCAGGGCTTCCTGTCAGCCCTTGACCTATACGGGCATAGCAGTATTGTCCCACGGATGATAAAAGGGAGTCTTGGATTGATCTTTCCTGCTTTTATAGTAAAGTAGGCAAATACACGGCCCTCCTATAGTCAGTGCAGTAGACTGTAGTTTCACTGAGAGCTGTCAGTTACTGGGCCTGGAGAACGTATTATGGCGAGTGGAAGCTGAAGGGTATGGGAAAGCAGGCGATTTTTGTTTTGTTTTGTTCCGGCGGGGTTGCTTTCCTCCACATACTGCCTTGCATTCGTAACAACCGTTTTGTTCGGGGTTTCAAGGCGCGGGGCTTCACCTCCGAACAAGTAGCACTGCTCATGCCTGGTTTAGCTCATTCCAACGAGAGCCAGATAGGTAAAACAAAATGAGAATAGATATCAAAATAATAAAGCAGACATTTGGTAAAAAGTAGTATTCAGAACGGTGGTACTCTATGTAACATCCAGCCCGCAGCCTGTATGTACAAAATATGGCATCTCATGCTCAAATTCCATCATAATATCAAGAACCCCTTTCTCTTAAACTCCAAACGCCCGCCCGTATGATATATTTTTTGTGCTCGCGGTTCCAGCACGTATTTCAGCAGCCACTAGGCAGATTATGCGTTCATTCCAGGCTGGTCAACTTATCCATGTCTCGCTCCCTCTGGATTTCCTCCCGGCTGTCGCGGATCTCGATACCGGGACCGATGGCTCTTGCGTTCCGCGAGCTGGGGAAAACCTGTGTTATGTTAGTATATGTCCCGAGCTTGGTAGTTGAAGTAGCTGGTTATGTAGATGAACCAGTCCGAAGAATAGCAATGGCCATCCCTGCAGCCAATCCCCGCTGCCTGTAAAATGGCTGCCATGCAAGAATATAAATAAATCGACATACCTTCGTTCCGCCCCATCCCAACCTGAAAGCGGCCTCGTGCGCAAACAGCTCCCCAAACCCGAGCATGAGCCCGTTCACAAACGGCAAGAACAGGTTGATCGCCGCGCCCCTCGCCAAGCTCCAGAACGTAGGCGGGGAGTATAAGATAAGTGGCGAGCTAGATGTAGAAGGCGGCGATGGGGACATGGAGAGGTCATCTGGGCCCGAGTTGGAGTATTGCTCGCTGTCGGATCGGATGGTGATGCCGGAGTCGGCGAGAGGGTTTTGGTCCGCCATGTCGAGATGGATGGGGGACGCGGAAATGGAAGAGAGGGGGTTTCGCGGAGAGCGTATGTGAAAGCTCAAGCTTTTGCTCTGGCGGTTGTGAAAAGTAGAATTGGCAATTGGGTTGAAAGCTATCAAAACAGAGCTATCACGGTCGTTGCTATAAATGCGGGTTAACCTGTTCGGCTGTCTTGGCCTAAGATCCGAGGCGATCGATAAAGCTAGCGTGACGTGCTGCCCAAGCTGCCTTGCAAGTTGGAACGTTTGATAATCAGATCTCAGAAAATCCAATCTTTTAACATAGCACATCTCACACTTACAAACCCTGGTCTACTGCTTCATCCCACAACGAAACTTGGCATCTATCAGTGATAACTGCAACGTAACACAACAGCCTTTTCAACCCCTACCACCGTCATCATGGCGGATAACCCCACTGACAAAAACGCTCTCATCGCCCAGTTCTCGGGCATCACTGGCGCTGCTCCGCAAGAAGTGCGTCTGAAGCTCACCCCAACCTCACCACCTCTTCCCTTCCACTAACACGTCCCAGGCGGAGCAGTTCCTCATCTCCAGCGACTGGGATCTTGAAGACGCTGCAGCAACATTCTATGCCTCGAAAGAAGATGCACTCGCCGAAGCCGAAGGTGGCGCCCCCGCGCCAGAAGAATATACCGGCCCACGAACACTCGACGGCCGTCCTGCGCCTGAATCTAGAACCCCAACAGTAGCATCCAGCTCGCGCCCTCCCCGCCGGGCTCCCCGCTCAGGAATCGCGACGCTAGGCTCCATTGCCAGTGACTCCTCCCAGCACGGTCACGACGACGATGGCTCTGACGACCCGGACTTCCATGACGACGAGCAGCCGCGCGACCTCTTTGCCGGCGGTGAGAAATCAGGGCTCGCGGTCCAGGATCCTCGCCGCAATGACCCCCGCAACCTCGTCGACGAAATTATCAAGAAGGCTAAATCGTACGTCCCCCCACTATCCCCGCCCCCACCTTCAGCAGGCTCCCGAGCCCAGCTAACCCCCTCAGACAAGCGTCCCGCGCCGAGAGCGACCCCGCTCCAGCACCTCCATCGCGCTTTCATGGCTCTGGCATAACCCTCGGGGACTCCGCGACGCCCTCTACCGTCCTCCCCTCCGCCGCCCCTGCCGCAGCCCCCGCCACCCCACAACGCCGCATCCTACACCTCTGGAACGACGGATTCAGCATTGAAGACGGCCCCCTCCACCGCTTTGACGACCCCCAGAACGCCGCCGACCTTGCCGTCATCGAGTCTGGCCGCGCGCCTATCCATCTCATGAACGTGGCATATGACCAGCCGGTGGACGTCCAGCTCAACAGGCACGAGGAGGACTATAAGAAGCCGAAGACCGTGTACAAGCCTTTCTCAGGCGGGGGACAGCGTCTCGGGTCGCCTGTGCCAGGTGCAGAGACCTCTACTGCATCTGCGCCCATCCAGCCCTCTGCTGGTCCATCAAGCGCACAACCCGCCTCGCAGGCCCCGCAGGTCAAGGTCGACCCCGCACTCCCGACGCTCTCCCTCCGCATCCAGCTCGCGGACGGCACGCGCCTTCCTGCGCGCTTCAACACCACGCACAGCATTGGGGATGTGTATGATTTTATCGCCAGGGCGAGCCCGGATAGCAGTACGCGCGCATGGGTGGTCGCAACGACGTTCCCAAGTAAAGAGCACACCGACAAGAAAGCGGTGCTGGGAGAGTTGGAGGAGTTTAGGAGAGGGGGGGTTGCGGTGCAGAAGTGGGTATGAGGGGTGTGAGGGTGTGTGGAAAGGGGGTTGTGGGAAGGGGCTTATCTGGCGTTTGGGAGGTAGACGGGGATGCTTTGAGACTTTTAGATGATTGCATGGATTATGAATTATTCTGTGCACCTTCTCTGTCTCCTCTTGGATGAGTACTCTATTCCGTGACTCCTAGCTTCATCCACCTCATAAAAGACCAGTGTTCGGCAGATACTACCCAGGTAGTATCTGGGTCCTCGCCAGGTAAGGTAAGTATCTGAGCGGCTTTGCTCAGGTAAGGTAGGTATTTACAGATACTTTAGCAGGTAGTTGAGCCTCAATTCCGTATACAAAAATGACGCTTTTGATATTTGAAATAGATAATGATATGTAACTAGAATATGTAACTAGAAAAGTGAAACTCGTGACAAATATAATAATAAAATAGACAGCCCCTATTCCTATTCTTCTGCCTCATCATCTGCATCATCACCGTCGCTGTCGGCATCTGGTAAATAACCCCAATTCCGTAAGCAAAGCAGATATCTAATTGTCGATGGTGACAATCTATTCCTTTTCTTAGTAATGATATCGCTACCATTGCTAAATACCCGTTCTGATGGTGCTGATGTCGCAGGAATTGCAAGATGGTCTCGAGCAACTTGAGCAATTATTGGATATTGATATTGCTTTGCAGACCAATATTTGAGAATATCAGTATGCTCACCAGGCCGTGGTTCAAGCATCCATCGTTTCCATTCTGGTTCTTCAAATGATATAATGCATCTGCAAGAGCTGTTTCACGTTCAATACGCTCTGTATCAAGATGATATTGCCGTGTCTTATATGTTCTACAAACATCTTCAAACTGTGCTCTTGCCCGTGTGATTCGTACATGATCTGTACTATCTGGATATATCTTTTTAAACACTGTATGGTTCATCCGTGGATCGCAAATTGTAGCTACAGCTGAGTGCTTACATTGCTGATTTGTTGCAAGAGTATAATACGCGTGAAGCTTTTGATAAGCTACTGTGCATGCAATACCAATTGCTGAGTGCTCGCCAACTTCTTGTTGCATCTTCTTAACTTTATTTATCATTTTAAGATAAAGTGGAATAGCAAAGTTAAGTGACGGATATGTATCACTTTGTAGCCGTCTTGATGGTTTGAGAAATATTAAGAACAGTCGTTCAAGATCTTTAATAACAGCCCAATCTCCTGTAGTTAATGCAATATCTTTCATACTAATATCAAGCTGTTGTGTTATGCATACTGCTGTGATTGGTATTTGGAGTTTTAATGCTGTATCAAGCATACGATGTGTTGAATTCCATCGTACTGGCATATCAAGTGATAGTTGCTGTGGTTTTAAACCTATAGCTTTGACTTGTCGTTGTAAAGCATCCTTCCATGCTCGTCGATTACGAAAGACATAGATATGTCTTCGTAGCTTTGCAAGAGCATTCATGACTTCCACATGACTATCTCTACTAAATGGAATCCGAGCTGCACCTTGCTCACACCGGTATGTCTCTGTCTCTACATCTGGTTCTGCTTTTAAACTCGTAAGAGCGGCTTGAACTGCGAGATTTATGATATGTGCAATACACCGGACATCGCCTTCTTTGACAGTAAATGTCCAAGGTTGTTGAGTTGATGTTTGGGCGTTGCTAGCCAATTTCTCATATTCTGAGAGCATCACAGTATTTGATGATGCGTTGTCTCGGGTGCATGTAAAGATAGCGCCTGTAATAGCTATACTATCTGTTACAGCTGCTAATTGCTGAGCTAAGTATTCACCGCTATGAATAGGCTCTTGAAGATGTATCACATCAAGCAATTTTGATTTCTGCTGCCATTTATCATTAATCCAATGAGCGGTAACAGCAGCATACTCTGTATAGTTCCGTGCAGACCATGCATCTGTCGTTATGGATATCCGGCCTCCATGTATAATATGAGAATGGAGTTCAAGCTGTAGTATGCCTCGGTGATATGAGAATTGGCGTTGTAGTTCTCGGTGCAATGTTCTTGACGAAAGTGATAACACAGATGGACTTAAGAACCGTACTAATTGACGATATGAATAGCTTTCGATAATGCGTAAAGACAGGTTATTAGATACTATAAACGATAGCACTAACTCTCTATATTTGGCTGGATTGTTTGTTGGTCTTGATTCATGGGTCGCTGGTCTCCGATGCTCAAAAAATGTTGATGTGCTGCTAGATTGACTTGAAGGCGCTGTATTCTTGTGTTTAAGAGCATCATAGATTCCTTTATGCTTAAGACTATAGTGTTTCCAAAGATTGCCAGTTGAAGCAGCAGCTTGAGCATGGGTTTGAGCTGCGGGCGAGTATCCGCAATTAGGCTGCATACAGCATACTTTGATAGTTGGCGGGTTGCTCTCAAGTAGTATTCTTGAATATAGTTCCTTCGTGAACAGCAGCGACTGCGTTGGCGGTAGCACTTGGCTAGGCGGGTGTAGACGGACAGGAATTGGATTTGATTGCTGAAAAGGGGTAAAAAGCCCTGGTAGGGCTGGCTCATCGTGAGGATTATAGCCATCAAGGTCCGTCGGCACGTCTGACAACGGAGAGTCACTCATTTTCACGGCAATTATCACCATATCAAGCATGAAGACGAGTATTTCAACGTTAGCATTTGTGCGGCTTGGCTACACTTGGCAATACTTGGCATGTATCTGGGTAAGTATCTGAAAATACCGGGATACTCAGGTATTTTGAGAATGAGCCCAGGTAGGTAATTACCCAGGTAATTACCTGAACACCACAGGTAATCAGGTATCTGTGCCGCACACTGTAAAAGACAAAACGTGCTAGAAACTGCACTATATTGACAGGCCATATCTCACGTATCCAGTATGCTGAATCTAATAGCCCTCACCCAACGTAACATTGAAAACGACGACGGAGAGTGAGACGGCAGATTGACGGCCTCCAGCGCACCACTATCATAGATGGGAAGACCGCCCCTTATGAGGAGGCCTTCACTGCTAAGTCTGGGTCCTGTACTGAGGTACTCCTCTTATTACGAATCATAAGTTACACATCTAACAAGCATGATAGGGGGTGATTTACCAACTCGCTCAAAAATTTGCCTATAGGCATGGTCTATTTGGACCAAATGGCTACGAGGCGGGAAATTAAGAAGTGTTTTTACTTTTCATGCTGAATTATGAATTTCTTTATTAGCTAAAGATGCTCGTGAGATTATCCCTGGCCTCGGGGGTGATGGGGAGGCGACGGCAAGAATCTCCGACAACAAAATGACCTCGACAGCGAGAACCCCCGTCAGCAAGAACCCCGACAGTACCACCACGACCACAGGCCACCCCCTTACCCAACTATATCGAAACCATGCACCCCCTCCGCTAACTCATGCTCCAAAGCAAACCTGCGCCATGTTGTATGTATCTCTTTCATGAGATGTGCTGTGTTGCGTGAGTGCTGAGGATGTTGTTATATACCCGTTCACTCCATCTTTAAGCTCGCGGGGGGATAGCAAGAAAGAGGGGGGATGAGGAAGGAAAGAGGGGTTCTGGGTGGGATGACGAAATATGAGAAGAACCCAAACAGACGGAGCAAAAAGGGGCTGTTTCAATATTTTAGCCAACCCCCATACGGAGACTATTCCCCTGCGTACCTACCTTAAACCCATTTTCATGAAGATAAAACGAAACAACAAAGCCGTCGTATCACCTGAAACTATGGTCTGCTCCAGTGATCCCCGTTCCAACAACAAACAGCATCCACTTACCAGCGTCATCATTACGGATAGGAGAAAGAGGGGGTAGAGTATGTGGTGTTTTGGAAGCTGGGAGAGTTGCAAGAAGGGAATGGCGGGGTTGAGATAATTTGTACGGATATCTCATGAAATACCCCCTTCATCTCCCCCATCGATTCTGTCCCTCGTCTCATTTCTCTCCTTTTTCTTCTCACTCAAAACCAACCCTATAACCTCATGCAACTCCACAGACAATCGAACGGTGGAACACAGCAGAAATCATGCCATGGCTGCGGGTTAATCTACCCTCCAGTAATCCTCATACCATCCCGAAATTTCCAGTTATCAACGTCTTTCCTGGTCATCTACGCTTCTCTCGAGGATACAGCGGCGAGGAAACAGAATGACGGTAAGAACCACACACAACAACAAGACCCCCCCCAAACAGCACTCCCACCCAGCACCTCGCACATCAGCAACTCCTCAGTCAGAACACCACGCGCCCACTCCACCGGCCGAGTCGCACCGCACACTATGTCACAGATTAATTTTCTTTTTCAATGTTTCCTGTCGAACTATGCTACGTGCTGCTTGGTGGGGTGTTATAGCCGCCCGGTCTGGTGTTTATTTTACTAAGGGAGGTGGTCGAAGTGAGGGGATGAGGATGGGGGAGGTAGAGGATGTGGTGTTTGGGAAGCGCGGAAGAGGTAGGAGAAGGGGATGGCGGGTTGGGATGATTCGTATAGATATATCACGAATTATCCCCTCTTTCCCCTCCATAGCCTCATCCCATCCCTCTTCTCTCCCATCCCCTCTCCCCAACCCACCCTATACAACACCACTGCCAAAAGTTAAAATTCAAGCTCGAAGATTCCCCGCTCTATATCGACCGGCAGTGTCAAGCTGCTATTGATCGGGTGGCTCAAATACATCTAACTGCTGCATAGATGGGGGAGCTGATGCTTTCATGAACATTGTTCGTGGGTCGCAGTGAGAAATTTTCAACGGACAAGACTGTGCGAGGTGACAAGAATTGTACGATAGCAAGAACACCCTCGACAACACCCCCGACAACACCCCAACCCAGCAGCTCGCACATCAGCAGTTCCACAGGAAGAACAGCACGCGCTAACTGAGCTGGGCTGGCCGAGCGGACGGGTGTTCCTTCCCAGTGCTTTTTTTGTCGCTTGACAACTTGATAGTCCGAGAGCTGTGATGCATGCCGGGGGAGGGGGTTGTTATATCGGATCATCGTATCAGTGTCTAGTTTGTTGTTTGCCCTGCGGCTGGGGGAAGAGGGGGTTGGAAGGAAGGTGTAGGAGCCGGGGGGGGGGGTCCTCTTTCGTTCTTCAATGGCCAGTTTTCTCGTTATAATTCCCTTCTTTTCACGCATCGTGAATATATCACTGTGAAACCCATCATCACCAGCCTCACCACCATCAGCTCCCCCATCACACCCCCAAACCCCACGAGCCATCCCACAACCCACCCCAGTATAAACCCCCCACCCCCCATCCCAACCCCATCTCCCAACCCATCTTCTTCTCAAAAGGGGTCTCGAAAGCGCTGGTTCAGGCGTGTGCCAATACGGCAGGTCGTGGAGAAGAGTTGTCTGAATAGCTCACGGTGGAGGTGGGGGAGCGGGGGTATTGTCGTTTTTGTTGTTGCTGTCGTTGTATCTCACCGGTGGCGGGTCGTTGTCACCGGGGGATTCTCGCCGCGCGTGTAGTGTCACTGATAGTATGTTTGTCGTGCCGTGAAAGGTTTCTGCATCAAGGAGGCGGGGTGGCATTGATCTCAGCCCTCGGAACGGACGTGTGTCGAGCGCGCGAGATGGGTCTCTGCCGCATGCAGGCAACAACTAGATCTGTGGTGCCTAGATGCATCTGATCCTGCTGTTCATGCCGACGACACTGTGTTTAAATGCACTCTGTTCATCCGGGATGTTCCACTACATCTCTCGAGCTTCGCCGCTTCTTTCTGGGGGAAAGGGGAGGGGAGAGGGAGTGTAAAAACTTCCTTGATATCGTGGGTTTCTGTGTCGTCTTCTGTGCCACCGCTGATGTGAGCCATGAGGCCAGCACAGATATCCACGTCGCCAGCACGTGATCAAACCAGCTTTATCTTGATATTGACAAAATTCACAGATGCGAAAGCCACATGGGAGATGGGAATTGATGAACTTTGTCGCAACACAGTTCCCCTCCGCCGGGTCTCCCCGCCACTCAAAATCTCACGTACGCACTCACAACGCCAACTGAGACACCCCCGTCGCCATCTCAGACCTGCAGAGAAGACAAAACCTCGCTATTCCTACTAACGTCCCAGAGTGAGACATCTCCCAGCATCTCAGATTGTAGAAAAACCCCCTTCCAATACTCCTCCCAATCCCCAACTCCGAGTAGAAAACCCCGCCCCTCGGTAGTTTCCAGACCGCAAAAAACCAGGAAATTTTCTTCCAATGGGAATGGCTTATTCATACCCCCCAAGTCAGGGAACCAGTCGGAAATTTCCTTCCCTCCAATCCGATACCCCGAAGATACCTCAGATGTCTCACCCCGCGACTCGGAATGAATAAGCATGGTGACGTTGTTCAGGGCCCGAGAGAGAAAACAGAAAGTTTGATCGGATTCCAGGAACCAGAGGGGATAGTATACAAGGTATTGGGTTTGGCAACTGCCGGGTTCAGATGGTGGAGTGAGGGTGAAAAAAAAAAAAAAAAAAAAAACTTGGCCATGACTCTTGTAGATGGCTATAACACCGTCGCTGGCTGGCTGAGGGGAGGGGAAAAACTTGCCGTTAGAGATGCCAAGGATATGGAGAAAACTTCATGAACTCGGCTGTATCGGTGAGGAAAAGTGCGAGTCCATTGGTATCTCCATTCCCATCCGCCGATAGCCTGATGCAGCGACTCCATTCTCAGAAAACTGAGTCTTGAATGCTGCCGTCCCCACCTGGTAATCCAGTCCAATACAGTCCTCCCAATGCAGCAACGCTCTCCCATCAATGCATCCCATGTAGTTGTCTTCATGCCAAGAAACACCCACATGCTCCAACCCAAACAATAAAGACAGAGTCATGTTCTTTGATGCCCCTCTATACCTAAGAAATCAGCCTTTAGGGCCTCTAGAACCCTCTATACCTAAGAAATCAGCCTTTAGGGCCTCTAGTAGAACCCTCTATACCTAAGAAACCAGCCTTACAGGACGTCTAGAACCCTCTAGAACCCTCTAGAACCCTCTAGAACCCCCCAAAGAAAGAGGAGACCATACACGCGTCCTAATATCGTATATCCCCCTCCTCCTAGGTCTAATATCCTCCTACCTCGAATATCCCAATATCGTATATCCCCCTCATATTATCAAAACGAACAACGAAAATAACAATACACCAAGCTTCACTCACACAGCCAATAGCACAGTACATCCCCAGAGGTACTCTACTTCCACCGTCCCCTGCGCAAGCGTGCTCCCTCTCCCCACGATCAAATCTCCGCCGAGACCCGCCAATCAGCACCGCGCATCCACCGACATCTGCCCCGTCCATCTCGGTAGAAGGAGAAGCGTCTGATTGTCTGATTTAAGGTGAGCGCGTGCTGGTGGCTGATGAGGGAGGGCGTGAGTGTGAGGGGGGAGTGTTGAGTGGTGGAGGGGGGGAACACGCTTGCGCAGGGGGGATGGTGAAGTAGAGTACCTTTGGCCATGTACTGCTGGTTGACTGTGTGATGGATGGCTGTGCTGTTTGACCGTGTTTCACCGTCTGATGGGATGGGCATGGGCCATGGGCCATGTGTACAGTACTTGCCAATGAGACCAGTGTTTTGTACTCTACTTTACTCTACTTTACCCTGTTTCCCCCCCCCTTCCCCCCCCTTTCCCCCCCCTTTCCCCATTTCAACTACCAAACACTCCTTATCGCCTCCACACGCTCATCTTGATCTTGATTCTGATCATCATCGCCAACCCTTCCTAGCCAGCCCAGCGCTTCCTTTACCTTCTTTCTTTCTCCGATTGACCCTGAACGTCTGCTCGACATCCTCTTCTTCAATCCTCACCGACGCTCCTTTCGACCCTTTCGACCCTTTCAACCCTTTCGACCCTTTCAACCCTTTCGACCCTTTCGACCCTTTCGACCCTTTCGACCCTTTCGACCCTTTCGACCCTTTCGACTCTTTCGGATTGACCCTGAACGTCTACTCGACATCCTCCTCTTCAATCCTCACCGACGCTCCTTACGAGAAGAACCAGCTTCTTCTTCGCAAAACACTCGTTGTTTTTAGGCCCTTGTAGCCCAAGACATTCCTTTCGTCATTATTTCATGAGAGTACAGAGTACCTCTAGGGACGGACAGCAAAAGCCAAATAACCTCAATTCCCAACACCAATTTCACCTGTTGATATTTCCAACACACGTACAAACAACAAATCTTCACCTTCCTTCAAGATGAAGTTCACCACAGCCACCGCCGCGATGGTCCTTGCGGGCTCTGCTGAGGCTTTCTGGCGCATGGAGTGCCGTGGTCGTTCGGGTCTTGCCCGTATCGATCCCCTCGTGAACCCAGGAGTTGCGTCGATGCACGCCCACACCATCTTTGGTTCTTCCGGTATGTTGGTTTTGGTGATGATGTGTTGCATCGATCTTGTCGTTGGCTGTGCCAGGCAACGACACATTGTCGTGGTTGCTGAACCGAAAGACTCGATCTCGACCAACAGGACTCCATCTTATATCAACTGCCAAACACACAGCTAACATTCACAGGCTTCACCACGACCTCTGGCAGTGATGAGCTCCTCGCTGGTGACTGCACCTCGTGCGCCGTCACCGAGGACAAGTCCGCCTACTGGACTCCTCCCATGTACTTCAAGGACGCTGCCACCGGCCAGTACAAGCTCGTCCAGCAAGTTGGAGGCATGCTTTCGTAGGTTTTCTTTTCCAAACCCCCCTCCAACCCACCCACTAACCCTTTCCCCAGCTACTACTTCCTAAACCACGCCCCCGGCGAGACCAAGATCACCGCCTTCCCCCACGGCATGGAGATGATCGCCGGCGACAACAACCTGCGCAACTTCAGCGCCGGCGAGTCCGCCCCCACCTCCCAAAAGGGCCTCGCCCAAAAGGCCATCGGCTTCAACTGCCTCAACTACGGCATGGCCGCCGAGGGCTCCCTCTCCCGCCACTCCATGCCCGACAAGGCCTACCTCGACGCCAACTGCAAGGACGGCATCCGCGCCGAGCTCATGTTCCCCTCGTGCTGGAACGGAAAGGACGTCACCTCCGCCAGCAAGATGGATCACGTCGCGTACCCCAGCTCCGTCATGGACGGCACGTGCCCTGAGGGCTTCCCAATCCGTCTCCCGGGTCTCTTCTTTGAGACGATCTGGAACACCGCTGAGTTCGACCGCGTTGATGGCGAGTTCGTCTTCTCCAACGGCGACCCAACTGGTTACGGATACCACGGCGATTTCATCATGGGCTGGGAAGAGACCTTCCTCCAATCCGCTGTCGACACCTGCACCAACCCCTCCGGCCGCATCCAGGACTGCCCCCTCTTCACTCTGCAAACCGATGTCACCGCCCAGTCGTGCAAGATCAAGAAGCCCACCGGAATCCTCGCCTCCGTCCTCGCGGTTGAGAACCTCGTTGGCCCCATCCCCAGCCTCCCTGGTGGCGTGAAGCTCACCCCCGGCCCCGGCTACATCGTCCATGGCGCCGCCCCTGTCGCCGATGCATCGATCGTCGTCGTCGTCCCTACCCTTTCGCACTCTGCAGGATCTACCATCGCACCTGCCGCTACGGCGCCGGGTGGAATCTTCAAGGAGAACAACGCTGCCATCGCCAAGGTTGCGGCTGTTGAGCCCCCGGCAACCACCGAGAAGCCTACGCTTAGCTTGGCTGCCAACCAGAGGGTGAGCAGCACGAGCTATATCACCCAGGGAGGGAGCGTGGTGAAGGTTATTGCGATTGAGGAGTTGACTACTGTTACGGATGAGCTGAAGACGAAGACTGTTACTGCTGAGTCGAGGAAGCGCGCGCATCGTCATGGGCATCGCCATAACTAAGTCCAATCCGATACAGCTGTTTTTGGTGTTGGGTTTAGGTTGTGAGTGATGTGATGGGGGAGAGAAGGGGGGGGAGGGGGGCTGATGAGTGGTTGATGATGAGGGGTTATGAGGAGGTCTTGTGGAGGAGGAAGGGAGTTGTTCAGTCGCTTTATCTTATTCATGCTACTTTATTCTGCCTTCTATGCGTTTCGGGACCCCTTGCATTCACCTCCCCCCCGACTCACCTGTTACTCTTTGTCTACAAGACTTCATATCTCCCGATAGTATAACTGGGCTACAATCCTATTATGCAAACGAACATCGAACTTGATTAACACGCCTAACATATAAGTAATGTCAACCTCGTACCGCTGCTTCACCGAAGCCTAGGTGATAACCCCTTACAGAGGATAAACACGCGATCGCTAACTAGGCGCCAGTCTGGGTACAGGTCTGATTCAAAGCGAAGCTATCTATTTGCTCGGCGTTTCTCAAGATGCACTGCATCAGAGGCCTAAGTCCGCAAAGCGCGCTTCATGAGTCCATCAGTAGCAATATCTGACATGGTTGCAAGAGTCCACCTCAGCCGTCCCTTTCAAAACACGGCCAAGAGGAACTGGTACCTCTTCCAGCTGGCAGACTTCCTCCTTCTAAAACCTGTTTCGGAAGAGCCATGCTGGTCCCATACGCGGAGATACGCACTTCACCAATTGTGAGATAGCTGATGCCTAGATCGCAGTCACCGCTCTCCAAGCTTCTTTCAATAGCTATGCTAGTCTCAGGGTCCTAATCATAACCCTCTTTGTCCCATCTCCATCTTAAGTAGGACCTTAGCTCTTTGTGCTTTGGCTTGACAGTCTTCCACTCGCTTTCCATCACTTTCATGCCTGCTTTTCGTACATATTATCCTTGCAAAGATCCTCTAAGCATCGCTACCATACCATATAGCCCTACACCTCTAAGGTGCGCTACTTCTAATTCAGCTTGAATGGACCCCCCACATCTTCGTTCTTATCTTGCCCTGCTCGAGGAGGATCTTGGAGCCATTCTTCGGATAATTAGATGAGCCACCGAGCCCGACGCGGAAGTCCGATGTTCTGAAAGTACATTTTGATGTCGTCGTAGCTGGCTTTCGCAAGTATTTCTAGCTTGGGGTATTGAGAAAGAAGACGACTAGGCGGCTGGGATCGCGCGCTCGCCTTTAGTCTTGTCGAGGAATATTCATACTACTAATAGCTGAAACTGTAAACATTAATCAGCACGATGAACACTCCGTTACTTTGGACTTGGCGTACATCATCACCAGCGAATTCCTCCTCAATAAGCCCATCAGAAGGTGCGGGCGGCTCTGGTGAAGGCTCCCGAGGCTACCAGACCGAACGTCAAGCTGTACCTTCTCATTAGCGTAGTGTCCGTTATGCAGAGCAGAATTTGCATTGTGTTACATCACCTGGTCCCGAACAGCATTGGTAGCAGCATCTAGATAACAACTACATTAGCAAGGGTGATCTACTTCTCAAGCTCCTATAATCAATTTAGGATCAACGACATTGGCTGTCCTACCTCGAAAGCAGTAGCTAGTTAGATTCTCCTTGATGCCTGCTGTCTTCCCAAGGCGGTTAAGGGGATGATGAAGCTGATTGTATAGAAGGGCCGCCTCCGAATTATCTCGGCGGAATATTGGTGTCTTGAGCATTACCTCCTTCCAGTGTAGCTCCGTGCAACTGACTGGACCACGTATCTTGTGCTCAAAGACACGCTCGGGAGTAGTTGGGCCCGGCGCCTCGAATGCGTCATCTCACACGCATTGGAGGGGAGAGGGGTTTATGTGTGTTATATGAGGGTTTATCAAAGCCATTTCGCATCTTCATCTTTATATTTCACCTTCTCTCCCCCCGCAAGGTACCATCCCACTATCCACCTTCTACTCTTGCCCGCCAACTTCACCAACGAATCCACGACATGTATGCATGTAACCTCCCACTCCCTAGGAAGGAAATAAACAGGCCAACAATGATTCGATGCTCCCATGGATGAAGTATGGTGTGTGGCGCCGCTCAGTTGGTGGGGTGCGTGGGTGCGTGTAGAGGGCTGGTGTGTGTTAGGTAGCGGGGGGGGGGTTGCTGTCGAAAGGGGGTTGCTTTGCTGTTGGAAGGGGGTTGCTATCGGCAGATGGGTGTTGTCGGTGGAGGTTTCTCATCGTTGTGTAGTTTTCACCTCTCAACCTACCACCCCTACAACGCCTCGAATACATGGCTGGTCTGGCAGCTAGAAACGCCGTTGCTACTTCCATGGAAATTCACACGCATACACACCGGACTAGGTTGTTATGCTTCGTTTGGAATTGTTGTGAGGTGTGGAGATATTGGATGGCTTTGGGGGGGGTTGTATAGGGTATGAGGGTGGGGGGGGGTGGGAAAGTTAATGGAGGGGATGGAGGGGTGTTAATGTTAGAAAGGTCATACAATCTGTTATTCACTTCGCTAACCCCCCACGGCAACAAAGAATTACTTTCTCTAAACGTCAAAAAAAATGCAAAAAGACTCATCAAATCTCGCGATCTGATGAGGGAGAAAATCACTTTTTATGATTTTACTTTTTGTCGTTTATTGATCGTTTCCAAACTCTTTCTTTCATTTTGGTTTCATCGTTTCCTCGCCGGGATTCGAATCCATAACCTTTTTTCCTCCGCTGGCCAGATTGTCCAGACAGTGGTACTACCACTGCGCCACTGTGCCGCTGGGAGGGGAGGGGTTATGGTGGTTTATAAAGAAGGGGGGGGGGGTTATCTCGCTTGGTGGGTGATTTGGCTGGGAAAAGGGGGGGCGGTTCAGGGGTTTCGTGGGTTGGCTGAAGGTAACCCCTTTCCTCGCCTCTCAATAGGAATAAACCAAACCAACCATCAACCGAAACATACCCAGCCCGCCTCTTACCGATTCCGCTATAAGAGAATGTGACCAGGGATTGATGACGAGTCCGGCAACATATAACTACGAGCCGCTCCTGCTGATGTGATGCCGGGACAAACTGTGTTCAGACACGTCATTGACGACGATAGGGGAGGGCTGGTACACTGAGGTGGGTAAACTATTCTTTTCATGCGGGGGGTGAGGGGTGAAGTGCTGGGCGGGGGGTTGTTGCTGTCGATGGGATGGGTGTTGTCGGTAGAGGGTTCTCACCCTTGCGTAGCTCTCACCTCCCACACCCTCCCCTCCGCGCCTCGACAAATCGCGACAGACGACGTCACAGCATCGAAACCTACACGCAGGGCTAGCACGTCCACATCGATTACTCGGCGCGAGCATATAATTTCGCGATACTGGGATAGGACTTTGGTGTGGGCCGGAACGGATTCAGCTGGCTTCTCGTCGTCTAGAGAACTCTGCCGACGTCGTGCGAGTAGGGCGTTTGCTCGCTGTTTCCGCGAGTTGGTCCAACAATGGCGAAGGAAAGTATGGATCGAAGATGAGTTTTCCCGCCAATGTAATCAAGCGCCCCGAAGTTTGTCGGCTTTTTTCTTTCTTAACAAAGAAATGTATGTCATAAGCCGCGGGTTCAGTGTAGGGGGTTGTTGTTTTTGGGGGGGCTCGAGATGGAGAGGGCGGTACTAGGCGGGTGCTGAGGAGATTTCTCACTGACAGTTAATGTTGCTGTTGGAGGTGTTGTCGTCGTCTGGTTCTTGTCGTTGGGGGAGGATTCTCGCCGTCATCTTCTCACTGTCGTTGCAGTCTCACATCAAGGCTCCACCTGCACCACCCTCCGCCCCCTGAATCGCTAACAACCAGAAACGAAAGCACGTATGACGGGGATTGCGGACGGGGCAGCCCACCACTAGCAATCGTTGCCCTGGAGTGGGTTGCTATGGTATCTTCGGGAAGTGTGTGATAGCGGGTGGTTTTATAGACTTCGAAGTGGAGGAGGGAGGGGAGGTGCGAAGGGATGGGAATGGGTGCGAAGAATTATGTATAGTGAAGGTAAAGATTCCCCGTCCCCATATCGTGTTATCACTCTATTACGCCACTTCTTCTCATCTTTCCCAATGGTAAAATACGTTTTTTCGCATTCGGGCATCTTGGCCCCCTGGGTATTGTGTCATACTCCAAGAACAATCACATACGACCATAGACTCGAGAGAATTGGGCATCCCGTCCGCTCTGCCATACACAAGCTTGCGTAACATCAGATTAATGGTCTCCATCGTGCCAATAGGCATAGCGCGGAATCACGACCCCTTGCGGCCTGAAGGGTGAGCAGGGTTAGAAGGAAGGACGTTCAGACTTCTCACGGACGCACCAGCACTTCCCCGCAACCTTATGGCACAATTTAGTCCACGGCATTGCTTAATTTTGTGCCAGTCATCGCTATGCTGAATAACTATTAGTTTAGAAGCTGAGATTCTCTGCCTGTTAGCCAAGAGTCCGATATCCAACCAATCTGGAACCTGACCTCAGCTGCGGCTACGGCAACTTGGCGCCATGGGTTTCCCCGGCGGTCTGCTGGAAACGAGGTATGAATAAACAACAACAACAACAAGCAGTATAATACAAAGCTATACTATGCTGTAGTAGCACTATTAAAAATACTTTGCACTATGTATACTACATTGCGCTAGTACAATGGAGTAACTCTTATCGCCATTCAATGCCAAGCTTTACTGTCGCCAACACTGGCCACTCTACCATACCATTTCAATTATCTTCAATCCCCTCACTGATGATATCTCCACCTAAACATCTCTCCGGTTGACTTCAAACTGCTGTGAAATTGAGTGTCTTCGATGAAATAGCTGAGAATACAAGTGATGAACGAGTGGAAGGAGCGCGTTCTCGACGCAACTGATGAAACTGCTGCATTTGTCGCCTGTTCGCGGCCAGGACGGGAAACTAAAGTTGTTGACTGGTTGGAAGGCTCCTTCAACTTCTGCCTCAAAATCACGTTCAACGATAGCGGCCCGGATGCTATTGTTCGGTTCCCAGGGCAAGGACATGCAACTTTTTTCGGGACGAAAAGGTCGCGAATGAGGTCCAAATCATCAAATTGCTCCGCGAGCAGACCACGATTCCTGTCCCACGCTTGATAAGCTGGGGCTTCACTGAGAAAGACCCGCAGCAATTTGGACCGTTCATTATCTCAGATTTCGTTGAGGGAGTTCACCTGTCGTTTACACAAAAGATGGCTTCGCCTATAAGCTTAACCAAGGACGAATTCCGCCTTCTTACCTGGTCACGCCCTGAATTGACGCGAATGACGATTCAGCCTCAATCTCTCCAAAGACTTTGCCCACTCGACAATGGCCTATTCCAGCCACGCGCTGATTACAAAGCGAATAACGCTACCTCTTTTTCCAACATAGGGGATTTAGATGCCCTTCCACTTGAGATCATCCATTCGATTTTCAGCATACTTGACTTGACTTGCGAAGTCTGACGGACTTCAGAGCTCTCAGCTGGCGCGCCCGTGCACTTGTTGATAGCTTCCCACCTTACAACGCAATGCAACCGCCACATTTTCACCCACCTCCCATTTCGAATCAAATGCTGCAACAATTCGATAGTCATGGGCAGAATCCATATCGTTTTATGGCAATGGTCAGACTCCCTACTCTAGATAGAAGGACAGGAAACCTTGACTGGGGAGTGTCTTGCCAAGCATGTCGCCTCGGACCTCGAGATGAGAGACGTGGATATTCAAATTGGAATACTGTCTACTCTGCTGCTGGATATATGGAGCACTTTCAAAAGTGCCAGGTGTCTCAGATAGGGAGAAGGGTGGTGTCAGACTATATTCTTCCTGCTGGGAGGGATCAGTGTAGCTCCGATGCCAGATTTTTGGGATTTCTCAGCAACTTCAAAATTTTGAGCCGATTATACCTTGATGACTGTATCCAAGATCCATTTTTAGACCAAATGCGTGATTGCTTGTATATTCTGCTCTATTTATCAACCGGGCCAGCCAGCATTCCTTTCCTGGACATCCAGCAACTTGGTACAACTGTCTTGCTCGGCTTTAGAATATAATTCATCAACCGCAATGCATCTTAACGGTGCATCTCATCTTTGCCAGGGTTTGTCATGTGCGTCTTACACATATGAGCTGAGTCCTTCTCCTTCTTGCATTTGACGTTGGTGCCAAGGCGTGCCTCGCATTGCTTAAATTCGGAATTTTTCTCACATGGTCGACTTGCTTAAGCAGAGTACCGAAAAAGTTTGCTTGAAAGAAATACCTATTCTTATGAAATCCTAGAAAGTCAGCCTTCTTCGGGATACTGTGAGGCGATTTAAAAGCACGCACCAGTTTTCCAATCCTATTCAATGCAAGAGAAGTTCTTACTTGTATGGGTATATTTTGTAGGTGCTAATGATCAGATTTTAAGGTGCAGAAGAGCTGTTATATACTTGGAACGGTCCAGGTGGACCTCAAGAAGCTCATGGACAGCGCATATCTACAGGTCGCGCGCGATTGAAATTCAGCGCGCGCGTGCAGGCAGAGATAGAAACTGCATTTATATTGTACCACGTTAGGTTGGTCGAAACTTAGTATAGATCAATTGGCTACTATCGCACCATAAAGGATGATTGTAAGAAGGAATGTATCATTTCGCGCCGTTGATGCACAATAAGCGCCTGGAGTCCGCGAACCTCAGCTAGATACTCCCGTTTTAAATGTTCTGCAAAATGCTGAGGCAGATGTGTGACAGTATTAACAATGATCTTATTCGTTAACTAAACCGCTGTCGAACTTGCAATTATTTTCAACGCGATACTCGTGTTCTGCAACAACATCCCCAATAAAAGTTTCGCGCCCACTACCACAGACCTCGATATCAAGACCGAATCGAGGAAACCAAGTCAAGTCTTGTTATTAAAGGCGTTCTTTATCGTGTACCCGAGGCCTCGCGCCCGCCAAAGCTATGCATCTTACCAAGGTCGAGATCTTGAATCAAGACATTGATCCCGAGGGCAACAGACCCAGTTATTACAGAATGCTGGTGAGCAAAAAGCACTTCAAGTACATCACCATCTATCCAGGAATCTACGAAGTCGACGACCTATGTTTCCCACCGATCCTGCTAGAAAAGTTGCCGCCATTTCCCGAAGGCGACTGGAACTGTGGTCGCATCTCGCAAACGGCGGGAAGTCCAACGCCATTCTTCGCAGAGACCTTCAAAGAAAATCTCCCTTCAATCAACCCACTGTGGCACTCGAAGTTCTACCCATACCTATCCTTTGAAATCGGAGAGAGACTCAGATCGAACGTCTACATGGCATCCTCCCCACAATTCGAGAAACCAATAGTCGCCAAATTTGCGAGATTCCACTGGGAGATGGGGTACTACATCGCCGAGACTCAAGCGTATTCATGGATAGAGGGCCACAATATCGGGCCGGAGTTCTTAGGTTACTTAACTGAAGATGGACGGGTTATCGGATTCCTCATCGAATATGTTGAAGGTCACCACGCCACGATCTCGGACCTTCCTGCCTGTGAGGCCGTTGTCAGACGATTGCATGGATTGGGAGTCCTTCATGGCGATTTAAACAGGCACAACTTCTTGATTTCGGAAAGGGGCGCAATTCTCATTGATTTTGAGACGGCAAAGCAGTCGGGGAATACCGAGGTTATAGAAAGGGAAGTGGAGGGATTGAAAGGGCAGTTGTTGGACGAGTCTGGTAATGGTGGAGTGGTTCTGGAGGCTTAAAAAGTGGTGACTGAGGAACTGATTCTCCGCCATTATGCCCTGTAAATGTAGCAGAAAGCCTATAGTGATCAACTTACCAAGTGCAATATGCCGTGCAACGGCGACGCCACTCAAATATGTGGTGGTCCTGACAGGTTAACTATGTATGAGTTGACGGGTTGCTATGCTGATGTTACAACTTCCCGTACTCTCGCAAACGCACTGTATGATGATGCAACTCGTCGGTCTATGACAACGAAGTATGCCAAGCTACTTGCAGCAAAGCTGGTTACTCGTTCGCTGGTATTGAGTATGGGGGTCAGTGCTATTGCGACAATCAGATTCGCAACACCTGCCGTCCAGCAACAGATACTGTATCTTTATGTAATATGCCTTGCAGTGGCGCTTCAAGTGAAACCTGTGGTGGTCCTGACAGGTTAACTCTCTATAAGTTACGAAAATAATAGAGTGTCGACTAAGTAGATCAAACAGAATAGTAATTATAACGGTATTATTACCATATACTGGGCAACATACTCTATGTTTATAGTTGTCCCATCTCTAAACTATCACTATGTATTCTCGTTCGCGGACATCCTTTTACTCCACCGAAAGTCTGGAATAGACCTCTATTCTATTCGTCACCGTAGGTGAATACCATCACCCACTTTATAAGTGTAGACTTGTTATATAGTACACGAATTGGCTTGACACCTCTACAACAGCACCACCACCTCCGACACATTAGTTGACCGTATCCCTTCAAGTCTTAAACTTAGAGTCGCTAGGACTAGTGGCACTAGTTTCCTCAACTTCCTCATGGCCAAATGACTTATTTACATGTGAGCCTAGTGTAACGCTGACTTCTAAACGATAGAAGACACAGAGGTTCTCTTGCGTAAAGGTTTACTTATCAGAGGAGGCAGGGGATCAGACACAAAGGCTTCAAGTAACACGTTACTAGTATATAACAAATACTGTATTGAGTTGAGCACGAAGCTCCTATCTAAGGAAATACTATCTACTTATATAGTGGCGTCGTGCCTAGTGGACTCTTGGGAACTCACTCGAGTCCTCAGAGTCCTGGACTCTTAGGACTCTTCTCATCATCCTGCGAGTCCATCACGTGCCTAGTGGACTCCTGGGAACTCACTCGAGTCCTCGGAGTCCTGGACTCTTAGGACTCTTCTCATCATCCTGCGAGTCCGTCACGTGATACTTTCGGAACTACTATTCCCCGCTGCCCCTCCAGGTACCAGGGCCGGTCTCATGCGACCTCCCTCCTTCCTGTCCTGTAGTTGGCCAGCCTTCTTGTTCCGTCGTAACACTCGCTCCCTTCCCCTGGGCATTCGTCTCGAATCCTATAAGTACGTCCATGTCCCCGGGACTCTGCTGCTCCTCAGCGAGTCCTTCAACATGCAACATGCCTACTGACACTGCCCGCAAACTCCAGGAACGCAACGATCTTGTCCGTCGAATAAAGAACCACGGATACGAACTACCCGAAATGGATTCTTGCTCGAACTGCGTGAGGTGAAACATTACTTGCGTGTCGTCTCCAAATGATTCACGGCGGTGCGCCGAGTGCGTTCGTCGCAACTTGAAAGAAAAGTGTGACTGTATGGGTCCTGAGCATCCCGACTGGGTGAAGCTCGAACGGGAGGAGGATCGCCTGGATCGCGAAGAGGAAGAAACCCTTTCGAAGTTACTTCGTCTGCGAAAGCAGAAACGCCTCATCCGAACCCGTGGTAAAGATATGCTCCGACGAGGTTTGAAAACCCTCGACGAGCTTGATGCGGCAGAGGAGGCCGAACGTGTGGCTGCTGAGAAGCGTGACGCTGTTGAGGCCGAGGAACAGGCAGTTAGCGCTGCCTCCTCGTCTGTGACCGGGACCCCCGCTTCCTCCGATCCACTGGCCTACTCCCCTGCATCTTGGGATCAATGGCTGGCGGATGGCGGCGTCGATATTCCTCCAGCAGTTCTTTGCTGATGTTCCTTGTTGGTTCCCACGAATTATCCGTAGGTTCGTAATTTTCCCATTTTATCAAAAACTCTTCTCGACGTCCTACTAACCTTCTGTCTAGGATCGCTTCGACCTCATATTCGATTATCTCATTCTCGGGTTGGAGTTCGGTGTCGGTCGCAATTGGGGTATTTCCTCTTGCTGGTTCCAGTAGTGAGACATGAAATACCGGGTGTAGTCTAGACTTCCTGGGTAGCTGCAGTCTGTAATTAACTGAGCTGACTTTGTTCAATATTTTGAATGGTCCCAATTTCTTGAAGTCCAACTTTGTGCTTGGTCGTTTCGTTTTGATATGTTTCCGGAGTAGGTATACTTTATCCCCCTCCTTGAAGGCAGGTTCCATACTGCGCTTCTTGTTTGCGTATGCGGCGGATCGTTCATTTAAGAATTGGATGTCCGTCGCAAGTTGTTCATGGAACGATTTCAGTTGTTCCACCACGATCAGGGCTTGTTCAGCTCGTGATTCATCCGGTCTTGGTTGCCTATATGCTTCTGGCTGGTAGCCATAATTGGCAAAGAACGGTGAGACTTTCGTTGCTTCTGTCATCGCGCTGTTATATGCAAACTGTGCGATGGGTAAGATCTGAACCCAGTTGTCCTGTTGATGATTGACATAGCTTCGCAGGTACTGTTCAAGGGTCTGATTTAATCTTTCTGTTTGGCCGTCTGTCTGGGGATGAAAAGCTGTTGATAGCTTATGATTTGTTCCCAGTAGCGCCATCAATG